CACTCGACCCCCCAGTCCCCTCAATAGACCGGTAAAATTAGAAATACGACAAAAAAAAATTCTAAAAAATCGAAGACAATTTTGTTTCATCACCAAATTTCGAGATTAATTTGGAAGAATAGACTCCACTCCACAATTTAACACCCCACTCGACCCCCCAGTCCCCTCAATAGACCGGTAAAATCAGAAACACGACAAAAAAAAATTCTAAAAATCGAAGACAATTTTGTTTCACCAAATTTCGAGATTAATTTGAAAGAACAGACTCCACTCCACAATTTAAACACCCCATTTGTCCCCCCAGTCCCCTCAATAGACCGGTAAAATCAGAAACACGACAAAAAAAATTCTAAAAAAATCGAAGACAATTTTGTTTCACCCAAATTTCGAGATTAATTTGGAAGAATAGACTCCACTCCACAATTTAACACCCCACTCGACCCCCCAGTCCCCCTCAATAGACCGGTAAAATTAGAAATACGACAAAAAAAAATTCTAACAAATCGAAGACAATTTTGTTTCACCAAAATTTCGAGATTAATTTGAAAGAACAGACTCCACTCCACAATTTAACACCCCATTTGTCCCCCCAGTCCCCTCAATAGACCGGTAAAATCAGAAACACGACAAAAAAAAATTCTAAAAAATCGAAGACAATTTTGTTTCACCAAATTTCGAGATTAATTTGGAAGAATAGACTCCACTCCACAATTTAACACCCCACTCGACCCCCCAGTCCCCTCAATAGACCGGTAAAATCAGAAACACGACAAAAAAAAATTCTAAAAAATCGAAGACAAATTTTGTTTCACCAAAATTTCGAGATTAATTTGGAAGAATAGACTCCACTCCACAATTTAAACACCCCACTCGACCCCCCAGTCCCCTCAATAGACCGGTAAAATTAGAAATACGACAAAAAAAAATTCTAAAAAATCGAAGACAATTTTGTTTCACCAAATTTCGAGATTAATTTGGAAGAATAGACTCCACTCCACAATTTAACACCCCACTCGACCCCCCAGTCCCCTCAATAGACCGGTAAAATTAGAAACACGACAAAAAAAAATTCTAAAAAATCGAAGACAATTTTGTTTCACACCAAATTTCGAGATTAATTTGGAAGAATAGACTCCACTCCACAATTTAACACTCCACTCGACCCCCCAGTCCCCTCAATAGACCGGTTAAAATTAGAAATACGACAAAAAAAAATTCTAAAAAATCGAAGACAATTTTGTTTCACACCAAATTTCGAGATTAATTTGGAAGAATAGACTCCACTCCACAATTTGACACCCCATTTGACCCCCCAGTCCCCTCAATAGACCGGTAAAATCAGAAACACGACAAAAAAAAATTCTAAAAATCGAAGACAATTTTGTTTCACCCAAATTTCGAGATTAATTTGGAAGAATAGACTCCACTCCACAATTTAACACCCCACTCGACCCCCCAGTCCCCTCAATAGACCGGTAAAATTAGAAATACGACAAAAAAAAATTCTAAAAAATCGAAGACAATTTTGTTTCACCAAATTTCGAGATTAATTTGAAAGAACAGACTCCACTCCACAATTTAACACCCCATTTGTCCCCCCAGTCCCCTCAATAGACCGGTAAAATCAGAAACACGACAAAAAAAAATTCTAAAAAATCGAAGACAATTTTGTTATCACCAAATTTCGAGATTAATTTGGAAGAATAGACTCCACTCCACAATTTGACACCCCATTTGACCCCCCAGTCCCCTCAATAGACCGGTAAAATCAGAAACACGACAAAAAAAAATTCTAAAAAATCGAAGACAATTTTGTTTCACCAAATTTCGAGATTAATTTGGAAGAATAGACTCCACTCCACAATTTAACACCCCACTCGACCCCCCAGTCCCCTCAATAGACCGGTAAAATTAGAAATACGACAAAAAAAAATTCTAAAAAATCGAAGACAATTTTGTTTCACACCAAATTTCGAGATTAATTTGGAAGAATAGACTCCACTCCACAATTTAACACCCCACTCGACCCCCCAGTCCCCTCAATAGACCGGTAAAATCAGAAACACGACAAAAAAAAATTCTAAAAAAATCGAAGACAATTTTGTTTCACCAAAAGGAAATTTTGGAGATTAAAATGTACTATTTTTTTTTTATCGCAACTGTACTTGTTACAAAAATTATTTCATTAAATTTTTTTTTGTCGTATTTATTATTTTACCGGACTATTGAGGGAACTAGGAAGTCGAATGGGCATTAAATTGTGGAGTGGAGTCTGTTCTTTCGAATAAATCTCGAAATTTGGTGAAACAAAAAGTGTCTTCGATTTTTTAGAATTTTTTTTTTGTCGTGTTTCTGATTTTTTACCGGTCTATTGAGGGGACTGGGGGGACAAATGGGGTGTTAAATTGTGGAGTGGAGTCTGTTCTTTCAAATTAATCTCGAAATTTGGTGAAACAAAATTGTCTTCGATTTTTTAGAATTTTTTTTTTGTCGTGTTTCTGATTTTACCGGTCTATTGAGGGGACTGGGGGGACAAATGGGGTGTTAAATTGTGGAGTGGAGTCTGTTCTTTCAAATTAATCTCGAAATTTGGGTGAAACAAAATTGTCTTCGATTTTTTAGAATTTTTTTTTGTCGTGTTTCTGATTTTTACCGGTCTATTGAGGGGACTGGGGGGACAAATGGGGTGTTAAATTGTGGAGTGGAGTCTATTCTTCCAAATTAATCTCGAAATTTGGTGAAACAAAATTGTCTTCGATTTTTTAGAATTTTTTTTTGTCGTGTTTCTGATTTTACCGGTCTATTGAGGGGACTGGGGGGACAAATGGGGTGTTAAATTGTGGAGTGGAGTCTGTTCTTTCAAATTAATCTCGAAATTTGGTGAAACAAAATTGTCTTCGATTTTTTAGAATTTTTTTTTGTCGTGTTTCTGATTTTACCGGTCTATTGAGGGGACTGGGGGGACAAATGGGGTGTTAAATTGTGGAGTGGAGTCTATTCTTCCAAATTAATCTCGAAATTTGGTGAAACAAAATTGTCTTCGATTTTTTAGAATTTTTTTTTGTCGTGTTTCTGATTTTACCGGTCTATTGAGGGGACTGGGGGGACAAATGGGGTGTTAAATTGTGGAGTGGAGTCTGTTCTTTCAAATTAATCTCGAAATTTGGTGTGAAACAAAATTGTCTTCGATTTTTTAGAATTTTTTTTTGTCGTGTTTCTGATTTTACCGGTCTATTGAGGGGACTGGGGGGACAAATGGGGTGTTAAATTGTGGAGTGGAGTCTGTTCTTTCAAATTAATCTCGAAATTTGGGTGAAACAAAATTGTCTTCGATTTTTTAGAATTTTTTTTTGTCGTGTTTCTGATTTTACCGGTCTATTGAGGGGACTGGGGGGACAAATGGGGTGTTAAATTGTGGAGTGGAGTCTATTCTTCCAAATTAATCTCGAAATTTGGTGAAACAAAATTGTCTTCGATTTTTTAGAATTTTTTTTTGTCGTGTTTCTGATTTTACCGGTCTATTGAGGGGACTGGGGGGACAAATGGGGTGTTAAATTGTGGAGTGGAGTCTGTTCTTTCAAATTAATCTCGAAATTTGGTGTGAAACAAAATTGTCTTCGATTTTTTAGAATTTTTTTTTGTCGTGTTTCTGATTTTACCGGTCTATTGAGGGGACTGGGGGGACAAATGGGGTGTTAAATTGTGGAGTGGAGTCTATTCTTCCAAATTAATCTCGAAATTTGGTGTGAAACAAAATTGTCTTCGATTTTTTAGAATTTTTTTTGTCGTGTTTCTGATTTTACCGGTCTATTGAGGGGACTGGGGGGACAAATGGGGTGTTAAATTGTGGAGTGGAGTCTGTTCTTTCAAATTAATCTCGAAATTTTGGTGAAACAAAATTGTCTTCGATTTTTTAGAATTTTTTTTTGTCGTGTTTCTGATTTTACCGGTCTATTGAGGGGACTGGGGGGACAAATGGGGTGTTAAATTGTGGAGTGGAGTCTATTCTTCCAAATTAATCTCGAAATTTGGTGTGAAACAAAATTGTCTTCGATTTTTTAGAATTTTTTTTTGTCGTGTTTCTGATTTTACCGGTCTATTGAGGGGACTGGGGGGACAAATGGGGTGTTAAATTGTGGAGTGGAGTCTGTTCTTTCAAATTAATCTCGAAATTTGGTGAGAACAAAATTGTCTTCGATTTTTTAGAATTTTTTTTTTGTCGTATTTCTAATTTTACTGGTCTATTGAGGGGACTGGGGGGTCAAGTGGGGTGTTAAATTGTGGAGTGGAGTCTATTCTTCCAAATTAATCTCGAAATTTGGTGTGAATCAAAATTGTCTTCGATTTTTTAGAATTTTTTTTTTGTCGTGTTTCTGATTTTACCGGTCTATTGAGGGGACTGGGGGGTCGAGTGGGGTGTTAAATTGTGGAGTGGAGTCTATTCTTCCAAATTAATCTCGAAATTTGGTGAAACAAAATTGTCTTCGATTTTTTAGAATTTTTTTTTTGTCGTGTTTCTGATTTTACCGGTCTATTGAGGGGACTGGGGGGGTCGAGTGGGGTGTTAAATTGTGGCATGGGGTCTGTTCTTCAAAATCAGCTTTCGAAATTCGGAAAACAAAATTGTCCTGAATTTTTTACATATTATTTTTGTTTTAATTTGTTGTTATTTTACAGGACTATTAGTTGTTATTCTACTGGAATATATTTATTTGTTCATTTTAATTGAAAATACATTCAGATTGTATAATTTCAAGTATTTTTCAATTGTTGCTAAAGTAGGTATTTTGAATTAATTTATTTCATTTAAATTGTTGACCTCCGCCCATGGTCGTTCGGCAATCATCGGCACTTTGGCAGCTAACTATTTGTCAGCTAACTTCACACCGCTGTCATATGTCACATCTTTGTTATTATTCTGGGTTATTATCCTGTCATGTTTGTTTTAATTCATTCCATAAAGATTTTAAAATTTTAATTTTGTTAACTAATTAACAATAATGATAAAACGCGTATTATTCATCTATTTATTTTTCAGTAGTTTTAGACATTTGGACGCTGTAAATCATTGGATAGTCACGCAAAGCGGTAAAATACAGGCATTTGTAAGTATTTTAAGGTTATGTTTTCTTTTGTAATTTCAATTTTTCAAACAAAAATACCCAGTAAATTACGTTTTTAGTTGGAATCTCCATTTGATCTTCGCAAACCCGACGACCTCTTGGCCCTGCTGGACCAAGAAAGTCGCAAAAACAGCATAAATGACCTCTACGAAGATCTTGTCTCTAGAAAAAACACTATTGAAAAAAAATGGATCGACATTGAAAAAAACTCTAATGTAGGCTCGCGCGTAACTACCGAAGATGTAGACTGTGTGGCTGCCGATAAATTATTCTCGGATTTAGATTTGTATAATAACATAGCTATCAATGGCACTGAACGAGGTATTAGCATTCCAGTACCAAAAAAAATTAATATGGATAAGTTTAAAGACACCGAAGAGCTTAAAGTACCTGTATGTATGCAACTAACATCAGCCAAATGGTCAGAATCATTTGTAAATAAAACAAATTTGATTCTTAAACCAGAAGAAGCTCTAAAAAAAAACATTTTTACCAATGAAATCCTTGGAACATTTTGGTTATTTCATTGTCAAATCTTTAAAAGAAAATTCTACTTCCTGGGTACATTATAACTTAGCCTCATTTTATTGGAGAATTAAAGGAGAAGGAGACAAAGCTATAGATTGCCTAAAGTTAGCTATACAGTTTGTAACTGGTAATTTCCAAGACATTCCACTACATAACTTAGCAGGAATACTGCATCAATCACACCATTCCAAAGAAGCCATACAAATACTAAACAGTGCTATAAAATTTGCTCCCGAAGAACCAAAGCATTATTTTGCAATGGGCAACATTTATGCTGCAATGAGGGACTTTAACAATTCCATTACAAACTATGAAAAGTTTTTGGAATTTGAACCACACAATCGAGACGCTGCAAGTAATAGGCACGCAGTTTTGTGTTATCACAAATTAGAAATTGCACTCACAACATTCCAAAATGATCTCCAAAATATTTTGTCAGAGTTGCACGATTATCACAGCATTCAGCAACAATGGCTTAGATTGCAAGAACGTCTGATGTGGGAAACTGCATCATTCGATTATCAATATGACCCTCTAAGTCCAGATATTTTGGATTCGCCCAAAAAAGTACAAAGATGTATTAAAAAGACAAGTGGAGGCAAACCAGTGATATCCTGTGATTTTTATGAAAAAGCTTCAGAAGTAGATAAACTTAACTTACACAGTCTATTCCAAATAGTCGAGAGTGAAAAACAAAAATTAAGCGTAGCTCATCTGTTTGAAGACTTTAATTTCAATAGGGCCAAGCTTAAAGATGAACCCACTAAAATTGGATACCCGAAATTTCCTACTAGCATGTCTACAAAGGACAATCAGTATTTCGATGTTACAGGATGGCCTAAAAAGGAAGAATGTTTAGAATGGAAACTTCCATTGGACGATAGAGATGATTTAGACTTGCCAGTTTTTCTTCCTCCTGAAAATAAAGGATATTTGTGAGTATTTGGATTTTAGCCATTTGTTTTCTGTATGTGTCTATGAATAAAGATGTTAGTTATTATTAATTGAATTTAAATGGTGTAATAATTAAATGGCAAAATAACATAAATGTACCAAAAAGACCAAAGGTTGCTTCTGATATACATTTACTTTATTATTATAGGGTATACATTTTTTGGTTTGTGCTCCTTTCTGTACCTAATACTTAATGATAAATTGGTAAACCATTTTTGTCAGTTTTTGAGAAGAAACTCATACATTCACAGGTGTAGAAGAGTCTATTCACAGTTGTATTCTATCTTCTACAAGACTTGAAAACATCCCTACAACACTGATTCAATTTTTTTTTTTTCTATTTATTTATTTACAGTTGGCAACATATCAATATTAGGTCTGTTTCTGCAGAAATCACAAACCAGTTAGAGCGAATTTCATTGGTTGAAAACAGTCAGAAAACTAATTTCAACCAATGAAATTCACTCTGACTGGTTTGTGATTTCTGCAGAAACAAACCTATTACCTACTTACTAGTATTACCTAACTAATTACCAAATAATACAATACAATATCCCATCCCATCCTATTCTCTACTACATTATTTTACTTATCCCTAATATTTCTATGTTATTGTGATTTATCACAGACATACACCTATCAATTGGTGGGTTGAGGCCATAGTTTGTTCTATGATAATTTATGCCAAGCAGATAATTGTAACGTATTTTTTTTTAACCGCCTTGATGGTATATGAAACTGAATTAGTTGTAATAATTTGGGAGTTAATAATATCTTACAATATGCACCAATCAGCTTTCAGACGTAGATATTCTAATAATTCCATATCCATTATAGTTCTTACTTCTTTATAATTGTGATCAACTATATTCATATTCAGTCTTACTGGACAGTATCTGAGAAATCTATTTTGAACTCTCTCCAACAGTAATTTAGGCATGTTGTAAAACCGTGACCATACAACATACAATTGACTCATATTCAAGTTTTGAGTGAACTATACTTGTATACACACATTTAAGTGAGTCTACACCAAAGAATTTACAGCTCCTTAAAACAAAACCCAACATTTTGGACGATTTCACAATTACATTCTTAATATGTTCCATAAACTTTAAACTCTCATCAAATACTACACCCAGGTCGGTTACTTTACTTACATATTTTATTGGCAGATTATTGATAGAGTACATAAAATCGAGTTTGCTTCTTATTCCATGAAAACTTCTATACTTATATGAAAGCATTTGTTAACACTGAGTTTGAACTTATTAGTAACGCATCTCTCAAAGAGACTATTCAGGTCTTCCTGTAATTGTTGATCACATGCATTAGACACAACTTTATACAAATTTAAATCATCAGCACACACAAAGGTGTACTGTATTTGAAACATGTAACTACGTGCAACCACGTATAACTATATTATGAATAAACAGGTTAAAAAGCAGAGGTGAGCAGTGGCCACCTCGTGAAACTCCAGATGATACTAATATGATGTCAGACTTAGAATTACCAATTTTAACTCTGTTTATTCTGTCAGACAAGATTTTACCTAACCACTTAACCAAATGTCTATTAAAGCCTATGTCTAACAGTTTTTGCATCAATACCCCATGGTCAACGCTGTCAAATGCCTTCGAAAAATCGGTATAAACAACATCAACCTGTGCCCTATATTCCAATGCACTCATGAGTGATGTCTGGTAATTATAACAGATTTTTTACTAAACCCATGCTGTCCTTCATTTATCAGACATTTACATGCAAATGTTAACTGATTGCAAACCAATTCATCAAACAATTTTGGTATATCAGATAGTGTATGTACAGATACTGAGATAGTTCTGCACATTCTGTCTATCACCGTTTTTAAAGATGGGTAGTTAGTAGCTGTGTTTCCAGTAATCTGGATAGGTTTCACATTCTAGTGACTGGTTAAACAACAAAAAAAGAGGATTAGTGATTATACATACACACTTTTTAATAAAAAAATTAGGAATTCCATCAGGACCAACTGTTAATTTGTCGGAAAGACTCAAGATTGCTTCATATATGTTACCTACACTGATATTTCCACATTATATTTAGGGTATTACTGCTTTGAAAATGTGTGTTGGTATTTTTCTGATAGAGAAATGTTGCATTTTCTCTTTGTAGCAGTCTTTCTTCGGCCAAGTATATCCACACTTTTCCATTCATTGTTAGGGTTTCCAGATATTCCAAGAAATCTATTATAATTCTCTGTACTCATTATTGGTTCTCCAATAATATTTTTTTTTTTTTTAGGAAACTTTGCATTTTCTTCTGATCGAATCTACCCGTAGCATACCTAAACCCTGGAACCAGTTTATCATTAAGTACAGGTTTTCTAGTTTTAAGAAAGTAGCAATTTTTATTAGATAATATTTATGTTCACTTGGGGAACACATCTTCTACATCTGGCTGATTTTTGTGCTTTAAAACGCTCTACTGCCACTATAAGATTGAGATTGACTCTGGAGTAGGCTTCTCAAGTTTGCCTTAATGATTTAATTGAAAGTCGGCAAAGAAAGTAATATGAAAATATATATTTAAATTTATTTCAGACTAAAAAAATCTATCACTGAGGATCTGAAGTTAGCAGACGGTTCCCAACATGATTTACCATGGTACCCACCCGTTTGCGAAGGGGATAATGTTAATGGAGAAAAATTTATTCCCATTACTGAAAAATATTTGTTAGATACTGAGCTTAAGGCTACTACGCATTTAAAAAAAGAATTTTTGAGGTATGTCAATGAGGGAAACGCAGATGAACACGAAATTGGACAGAGGATTGTTAGTGCTATGGAAAAAGTAATAGTTTTGTTTGTATATGTATATTTGATAGCTGTAATGTTTTTTTCTGAATTTACCAGAAAACTGCCCCCAAGTGGGTTTTGGCAACACTAGCAAGCCTATACTGGCGTGTCAGAGGAAATGTTCGAAAAACCCTAGACTGTCTGGATATGGCTTTCCAAAGCGCCCCAAAAGATGACACTGACGTCGTTCTTGTATCATTAGGCTCAACAAGTTATCTGTTAGGCTTAAAAGTAGGTATACAGTTTTCTGACTTACGCTACATATATTCTGACTCAAGTCTCTTCTAGGAACAAGCTTTAAAATTTGCCACTCTAGCTTTCAAAATAAACTACGTTGAACCAAGTACAAATTTCCTTTTGGCCCTTTTGCATTATGAAAACAACAACCCTTTGTTGGCAATTTATTATTTGAAAAACACCATGCGAGTAGATCCCAAGTTTTACGACGGCCTAGCAGAAAAACTTCTAAAAATATGGTCATGCAGGATCAAGTTAGGAGCAGGTAACTTTAATTGAATCCAATTTAATATTCAAATCTTACAAAAAACAACGAATTTAGGGCCAAGATTTATAAAACCTACAATAGAATCAAAATTACATTGTCCCCAATCAGCCTCATTCAAAGGCGAAGCCATAGTTTGTGACGAAGACCGCACAAATTGCAAAAAAGAAAATATGCAATGCTTCAAAACGCAAAAACAAATTGTCATCGACTCGACAGGGGTGCGCACATCTGAGAGCTACGAGCAATGCAAGGACGAGGCTGTCCAAAGTTTGGGACAACAAATAATGGCTTCTCTAGTGGCCGCAGAGACCACTGACGATGAATATTTTATTAAGGGACGGGAACGTCTTAGAGATGCTAAAGATGGATTTTATTATCCGCACATTCATCATCATGTCCATATGGGACTATCTCTGGGAGCTGAACATTTTCTGAAGGAGTATAATAAAGTTGGAGATTTTTATGGTAAGGATAATTATTATTGTTGGAAACTGATTTATTATTATCGACGAGTTTCGTTTGCCATTTTTTACGGTCTTTCCATTTTTTCTTGTCTATCGCTCTTATATATTTTTTTCCATGTTACCACCGGTCTTCATCTCTTCCTCCTGGTTGCACCCATAGGTACCATATGAGCTCTCGGGTGTCTACTCTTTCGGTGGCTCTATATATTCTTCTATTCCTTTCTTTTATTTCGTTCCGATAGCTGCTAGCATTTAGCTCCGTATGTCAATATCGGCTCTACAATTGCTCCATAGATTGTCTTTTTTGTTTTTATAGAGATCTGACTACTCCAGAGTAAAGAATTCAGTAACTATTTAGTACTCTGGTAACTATTTATATTCCTTTATTCAGATCTCTTAAGCTAAGATTCGGGTCTTCATTATCATCTCTAATACAAAGATATTCTGTGTTACTTTGGTTTATTCTCATTCTCCTTTGTTCATATTCATCCTTAAGCTTTCTATATACAGAGTGAGTTTTATGTATGGAAACGCCCAATTATCTCAAAAACGGCTTGCTCGATTTTTATAAATTTTGGTATGTGAGGGTATTGTTATATGGCCGATATTATCGTGCCATTTACATGGTTGTCAGATCATTCGATTTTTGGCAACTATTAGGAACTTTGTTATTTCAAATGGATCACCCTGTATATTTTTCAGTTTTCGTAATCCCTGAATAATACTGAATATTTTTCATGAAATGTTTCCTATACCCAAATGCCTTAATTTAGGAATTATAGCTACATTTACATTAAAAACCGCAAAAGTTGAAATAATTCATTGGCTTGTCCCGCGTGATGAGAGCTCGTCGCGGGAGCGTCTCGTCATGTCTGTGCACACCTTAAGATCTCTATGACTACAAAAATAATAGCTTTCACGTTTCAGTAAATTATTATTTGTCAGTTTTCATTGAATGTGATAATGAATCGTTTATCTGAAAAAGAACGAATTGAGATTTTGATGATATTGGGATATGGTGATAGGCGTAGAAGTCAACAAGAAACGTGTGATATTTTCAATGATTTATATCCCAACCGCAATCCCATTACAAAATCAACTGTTAGTAAATTGCTTAAAAAGTTTACCCAAACTGCTGGAGTAAAAGATCTACCCAAATCAGGGCGCAGGAAGACTAAATCAACTGACAACAAATCTCTAGATGTTTGTGTCATGTTAGAAGACGATCCTCACTTGAGTACTAGGCAAATATCCAGGGAACTTGAAGTTTCTCAAACAACCGTGATGAGAATTCTGCATGGTAATAAATTCCATCCATACAAAGTGAGGTTGGTTCAGGAGTTGTCAGATGACGATTTTGATAGACGTGAGGAGTTTGCCGATACAATGATGAGAAAATGTTACGATCCAAACAATCCAAATTTTTTAAATAATGTTATGTTTAGCGATGAGGCCACTTTTCTTATCAATGGCAACGTAAATCGGCATAATTGTAGATACTGGTCTCGTAACAATCCTCATTGGATGCGTGAATCCCACACCCAATATCCCGAGAAACTGAATGTATGGGCTGGAATAATAGGCGACAGAATAATTGGACCGTTTTTTATTGAAGGAAACTTGAATGGTCCCGCGTATTTACGTTTATTGGAAGATAGTATTATACCTGAGTTGGCTCGGTTATTTCCAAATCCAAGTGAGTATTTTCAATTGCCTTTAAAATTAAAAAAAAAAATAATTTATTGAAACTTTCAGACAATAACAATATTCCCCAAAACAATATTTGGCTGCAACAAGATGGAGCTCCACCCCACTATGCCCGTGAGGTGAGACAATACCTAAATCGTTTGTTTCCCGGAAGATGGATTGGAAGGCGTGGATCTATCGAATGGTCTCCTCGATCACCCGACATGAATCCTCTAGACTATTTCCTATGGGGCCACTTGAAAAACACTGTTTATAAAACAAAACCTCTCAATATTGAGGAATTGAGAGATAGAATCACCAACGAGATAAGAAGAATAGAGCAGACAGGGATGTTGCAAAATGTATTGCAAAGTTTTAAAAATCGCATGGCTTGTTGTCTGGAAGTCAACGGACAACATTTTGAGCAGCTGCTGTAATGGGTTGGATAAATTTAGATTTTTCAACCCTCGTTGGGTTCATCAGATCACAATCCCAACTCCGCAACCTGTGAACTAGCTATCAAACCATGGTTCAATAAAAACTGCTCAACAGCGGGAAATTATAAAAATGCTGCTTATTGCAAATGGCATCGTAATCCGACAGCCTAAAATCTCAATACATTCTCACGACTAGAAACCACTGTAAGCAGACCAATGGCGAAGAAGAAGAAAAAAAGGCAAAAAAACAGTTCGGAGAAGTGATCAATTAATAGCTCCTGTCGAGTGCCAAGGCACCAGCACAAAAGCTAGGGGCGCTCTATAGAGCATCCCTCGAAAACTGTTGCTGACCTGGAGTTGACCAAATACCATTAATAGCCATAAACCTCGGGAAAAAGTGGTAGACCTATCACTATTCTATCGATATCATTACAGCAGGTGCTCGAATTAACTGACACTTGTGACTCTGCCCAGAGTTGTACCAAACAGATACACTCGTCAACACAAGCAGCTCATGAACATACAATTCAGCTGCGAACACCTAGGACGTCACTGTTCAGAAGTCAATTTGGTCTGGAGGGCTGCCTAGCTCTGGAATGAACTTCCAAAGGCATGAATACTTTTCTCGAAAACTATAACCTACAGCGCAATGTCCATCGACATCTCAGTGTACACGCCGCTCGTTGAGTGGTAAAGGATTTTCCGTTTGTGTGTGAGCCAACCATGAAAAAGTAATATTAAGATAGCTATTGTTTTCAGTTAATTTAGTTTTCCTGCGCCCAGATTTGGGTAAATCTTTCATTGCATCAGTTTGGGTAAACTTTTTTACCAGCTTACTCACAGTAGATTTTGTAATGGAATTTCGGTTGGGATATAAATTATCTTGTGGACTTCTACGCATACAACCATATCCTAATAAAATTAAATTAAATTAAAATCTTAATTCGTTTTTTTTTTTTCAGATGAACGATTCATTATGGTATTCAATGAAAACTGACAAATAATAATTTACTGAAACGTGAAAGCTATTATTTTTGTAGTCATAGAGATCTTAAGGTGTGCACAGACATGACGAGACGTTCCCGCGACGAGCTCTCATCACGCGGGACAAGCCAATGAATTATTTCAACTTTTGCGGTTTTTAATGTAAATGTAGCTATAATTCCTAAATTAAGGCATTTGGGTATAGGAAACATTTCATGAAAAATATTCAGTATTATTCAGGGATTACGAAAACTGAAAAATATACAGGGTGATCCATTTGAAATAACAAAGTTCCTAATAGTTGCCAAAAATCGAATGATCTGACAACCATGTAAATGGCACGATAATATCGGCCATATAACAATACCCTCACATACCAAAATTTATAAAAATCGAGCAAGCCGTTTTTGAGATAATTGGGCGTTTCCATACATAAAACTCACTCTGTATGTTATCCAGGTCTTTTTCACAGCTAGCTATTACTACCTGATCATCTGCAAAGAACAGTGTGGACAAATAATGTTCTTCCTCTTCTATTCCCATACCGGAGCACTTATTTCTGCAGTTCTTCAAGGCCTCCTGAATGTACAGATTGGCAAAAAAGTCGCGCATAATACCTGTAACTTTTTAATTACCTCGTATACGAAAAAGTGACCTGAATGAAAGTTGATCAGTAATAAAGTGAATAATTTCCCACATTTCTACCTAGGCGAATTGTTTCTGTCACTTCTAGTTTGTTTGCTATCCAAATCAACTTCGTTTTTCAAATGAAACACCCTCCTGTATGTCATTGAATTTTTGGATTCAATAGGTCTGTTTCTGCAGAAATGGCAAACCAGTCAGTCCGAATTTCATTGGTTGAAAACAGTCAGAAATCTACTTTCAACCAATTAAATTCACTCTGACTAATTTGTGATTTCTGCAGAAATAAACTTTTTATAAAATTCTGAGCAGATTTTATGTGATATGATATAACTCTCCGATATACCCTCTATACCTAAGTTCAACACTATTTCTTTATTTGAATTTATTCTGGTTAGAATCACAATATTTTCTCCATCTCTAGGGAATTAATATCTTCAACTTCTTCCCACTTATTTACATTGTTTTTGTGTCTTTCATTGACACTCGTCGTTAAAAAAAAAAAAACTGAATAAAATTATTATTTATTGTCTAGTTTCGCTGGATATTAACGAGAGCCCAGATCAAGAGCAGAGGCTCCACATTTATGACAAATATGGGACCTATACTTTGTCAAATAGTGTTTGTGAATATGGAAACCCAATGGTTCCTTTCAAGTATTCAGAATTGTGGGATTTCATAGAAGAAAACATGATCGAGTAAGTAAACTAATTATAATTATTCATTGAATCAAATAAAACACATTTTTTTTATTTTCCAGTGTCAGTTCCTACATCAAACACACTAAGACAAAAACCTCTAAGGAATCTCCCAAACCGAATTGTATGCAAGTATTAAATCCGCACATGCCGTATGGTTTAAATGAACTCACTCTTAAAGTTCTGGCTTTGAAATTGCCCAATTCCTACGACAAAGATTTGACTGAGCTGTTGCAGTTGGTTTGTGGCAATCGAAAGTTGAACACGCGCGAACTTGGAGCTAAAATTGCCAAGGCTTTGGCACTGGTAAAGAGTGGCTTTATTTGTATTAACTGCTAAATGATTTTTTTCTAGGATGAAACTAATTGGCAACTTTTGATGGCCTCTGCAATATATTGGATAGTTTATGGCAACACTGAACAGGCTGCTGTATGTATCAGAGGGGCCATAACTAAAGTTTCTCCAGCTGAATTAGACATTCCTTTAATGTTTTTAAGTCATTTATTGGGAAAGTATGTTTGGTAATATTAAACTAGGACAAAATATAATTTGAGTTTTTTTTAGTGTTGGTTTGCCAGAAGAAGCTATTAAACTTGCCCATTTGGCTCTGAGTCAAAATCCTACAAATTTGTGGAACCATTTTAAAGTAGCAGAGAATTATATCAAGTTGGTAAGTGTTTGTTTGAAGTTTTTGTTTTAAAGATTATCTAAACGATTTGTCTTAGGGTAAATTTGAAGAAGCAGTACCTTACCTAAGGGCTAGTTTACTGATAGATGACAAATTTGACCCGGCTAGAACAAGACTGAAGGAGGTACTGTGCAAGTTGTTGTTCGAGGACGGTTACAATCAGGGCCGAGTCGCTGCTAAAATTGTTGACAATTGAGGTAGGATCTAAGAGCTGAAGAATTTATTATGGATATTGTGACGCTGATTTACAAAATATTTTGTAAGTTTGTGCTGTTAATAGAAGTGGCTCATATGAATAAAACAGAAGCAGATGCTTTTCCTCGAGATAAACATATTCTGCTTCAATGCAATGAAAAGAGATGGAGGTAGAGTAAAAGCATTTGCTACACTTTAAGCATACGACAAAATATCTTTGTCCCTTAGAATTGTGTTAATGGATTAGGTTTCAAAAAGCAAAAAAATGTAATGCAATTTGCAATACATTTTAATTTTATACAGAGTGTTCAGTGCCATCACTTGTTATCAATCCTTTTAAAATCCTAGCAAATGGGTTTCATCAAAACGAATGGGCGTTCCGAGAAGTTCTCAAAATTACAGGGTTTTGCCAACAATATGGAGAGAAAAATTAGGAGTTTTGGCATTGCATATATTGCATTGAAACTTCATTGTACTCAGTACTGAGTGTTTTAATATTATGTGTTGAAATACTTGTTTGTTGAAATGTCTTCTTCTCTTCTGGTTCTGATTTTCCTGGTAAATTGCATTAGAATTAGAATATTCTTCTTCTTTTATAGGTATCCCCTCATTTTCATCTATTAGTACAATATCTGATATGTATTCTCCGGTGTTCTTTAACTCAATCATTTTTCACGAGAAACCTGAAAAAAATGGTATAATCATATTTCATAAGTTAACTACAATAACATTTGCGAAGATTAAAGGTGGCACTTCAGAATCGTGAGACAAGAACATAATATTTAATCTACGAAAATGTATCGGCAAATATTCAATATTCAAATAATAATTGTATGCATTGGGCACCCTGTATAAATAGCTATACTTCAAAGCATATGTCTATCCCAGTTTTTTTTTTTTTTTAATTCCTTGAAACTTTTGTCAATTTGAATTTTACCTGTCTATGAACATTGACTGTTTACTAAAAACATTCCAACTTCTTCCACCCAATTATAACATACACAACATTAATCATTTAAGTACAAATACTAGATGTAAACAAATATTATATGGATTTCTATCTACTATTCTCTTATTGTGCATTTTACCCTTCCAAATACATGTACCAATTGTTTGGTATCTATTTTTCCTATAAATATTTATCCATTATATGAATGTATTATCTGGCTATAGTTTTTTTTTTTACCTTATGACCAAGCCAACCAGGAGTTTTGGTGTAGTGGATCTGTAGAATAAGAATACCCACAATAGCCGCTGTCACACGCACAAGAGTTTTTAAAATCTCTCTTGTGCAGCGTCCAGCAGCTGCAGTGAGATTCTTCGGCTTCACATTATATAATTAATTTTCTTCCTACTAATAATTCATCAAATTGTATTACTCATTCAAATACCTACTAAAAAATATGTCTGTCTTGTATCAACCCCCAATGAATTAATTCATAAATAACATATCCCAAGAAAATATAAAGGCCCCATTACGGTGTTGCATATTTTATGGCCCAGGCGAAACATCTGCCATGGTCCCCATTGAAATTGTATAGAAAAACTTATAATTACGCCCCAATCGTCATTTTATAGGTCATCAGAATGATGCCTATTGATTTTTTTAGTTGGAAAATGTATTAACTATTTAAGACGGTTGATGTGTCTTAACTTTTTCGTTTATTTTATTTTTTTGGAAGGGGGATTACTGGTTCATTAATGATTAACATTACCAGGGCCTTAATTTTACTCATCAAAGTATGCAATTTATTTAAAAAGCACATAGTATTATAGTATAGAGGAATTATTCACTGGCATTAAATTTGGTTAGAGTAAATAATAGCGAATCAAACAACTTTTTAAATAAAACAAGTCTTACCATGGGCCATCTTTTTCATATGATCTTAAAACTAAAAATCCATAGGCGTTAAATCTGAACTTTTCGCTCGTCCTTCCAATTCAAGCATTCTAAAACCGAGAAGAAATTAATTTCGAAAATCTGGAAACTTACATTACACCTCATTATTTATCCTTGTAGAAACATAGAAACTACTTGCTGGTTTGTTTAAAGTCTATTGAATAGAATTAAGGACTATATTTTGAATAATCACATAGATATTTTTTCCGTTTCCGAACTCTGGCTAATAAATATCATCCTGGTAAGGTAATAAATTCCGAGGGTTTCAGGCGTGTTAAGCAATTTGGGGTGATTTATCAATTTTTCAATTTTTCTGAGTGGCTTTTTTCATAGATTTCGGATTCAAATCTGAGAATAATTCAGTGTATGGAGTTTAGGGGATGTTGATTGACCATTAGGATACAAAATCTCGATAAAAAAAAATTTGAAATTTCATCGTTTTAGTGAGAAGAATGATTTAGATTTTGGAAAACTTTGAAAGGTCATAACTTTTTTTCTATTATAGTTAGAAAGCTGAATCTTTCACTGAATTTTATCATTTTCAAAGGACTACAATCCCTGAAAATTTCAGCTCATTTGCACTTATAGTTCCTGAGATAAAATCGTGTTAAGCAATTTGGGGTGGTTTATCAATTTTTCAATTTTTCCGAGTGTCTTTTTTCATAGATTTCGGCTTCAAATCTGAGAATAATTTTGTGTATAGAGTTAGGGGTATGTTGATTGACCATAACAACCTAATATGCACTTTGATATCATTCAAAACCCCGTATTCAAAAACTAGACATTCAAGTCAGCTGTGGAATTAGCTTTATGTTTTGGTCAAACAAAATTATTTCAACCAAATAGCAGTGTCCAGGGCCCAGTGCAGTTTATACGAAAAAACATGTTGGTCAAGGTGCAGGTTCTAGGAAGTTGCTGAGATATTATTAAGCCAGTGGGTAGCCAGAAGTGTTTTCATTGTGGAAGAGCTCATGAGCCGTCTACATGCCCTGCTATGGATTGAAACGTCAAAAGTCTATTCGTTGTTCGGTGTTATTGTGTCATTCATGTGTCATTACTGTGTTACCGGTGTTATCGAATGTAATAGGTTTCAGGATTACCGGATAATACTTTTACCTGTCACGAAACGCGTTACCACGACTCCGAAGGAGGAGTGGTGTTGCGCGTTGAGTGTCAGGTAAAAGTATAAGGTAATCCTGAAACATCGAGTGCTGGGTGGGTATTCAGAAGGTTATACAACGAACTTAACTTTAATACTTTAAAATTTAAAAAAATTTCTATAATAGAATTTGCTATAAATGCTACCAAGCGCGATAATCCCAAAAGGCTTATCACTTATTAAGCCTCTCGAGTCAAGGGAATAATGTACAGTGAGTTGTATAACCTCCACAATAAAATTAATAATAAATTATAAAGGTTTGTTCGGACATATAATAAGCAAATATTAAAAAATGAAAATTCCAAATCCCTGTGTAGCCTAGACCCAAGGGTCCCAGAGTTATTTAATAGGTTGCCTGGTACTGGGTAACTTGATGACACATCTGGTGTGGAGATTTGCATTAGACATCTCATTGGTGGGTTCACTGGTGGAAAAAAGAATATGCTTCCTTACTGATAGCCGACAGCCAGCAGCAAGGTTACATTAGGGACCAAAATCACGTTACGTTCCATAATTCATTTCCGGCCGGCCGGAGTAGGTTGGAGCAGTAAGAAAAAATTTAGGATATTTGTAAAAATGTATTGAAACATAAAATGTAGTACTGACGTATACTGAATATGGTTAAAATGTATTAATTTCTGTACTTTTATACTGAAGCTGGCAACGCTGCATCTGAGCGGTCACCTACTAAATTACCTCAACTTTCTACTACATCTATTTCGGAAGCGGATGATGTTGCTTGTCATTCAGGGAAAAACTTTGATATAGACAATAAGTCTCCGGTAGGGAGAAGTCTTCCTCAAAGCCCACTCGAGCTTCAGCAAGATGTTTATCACGATAATCCTGTTGTGACAAGTGTTGGTACGGATTTGACGTTTAGAACCCCAGTACGTAGATAAAATAGAGTTCCCAAACCCATAATTAAATTGGATCTATAGCCTTTTTTTTTTGTTAGAGGGGAAAAATGGGTGTAGCTTCATAATTGGACCACCCTGCAAGTTAGGAAAAGTCATGTCATAAATTTGTCATGTCGTGTGGTCATTCAAATCAAACCTTGTAGGTTTATACAGGGTGTTAATAATTAGTGGGATCAAACTTCTAGGATATATAGTAAGTCGAGGGGTGTGACACTTCCTAGTATTTTGTACACCTGATTTCTGATTTTCATTACTTTAATGGAAATCAGTGAAATTAGAAATTAGGTTTGGTAAAGTTTCATGATTTCACTTGATTTCAACGATTTTTTCAGATAATATTTGATTTTACTTGATTTTGCTGATTTCACTTGATTTTGTAAATTTCATTGATTTCTCTGATTTACATTGATTTCGCAAGGGTAAATGTGATTTTACTAAATTCACACGGATTTCATGATTTCAGTACCCATGTACTAGAGGTCGAGATCTAAATTATTGTCAATGACTCATGCCATTAGCAACGCTACCTATATCAAGTTAGGGGCATCATAACGAAGTCGAAAATTTTTACTGTGCCATTACTACCGCTTTACAGAAATTACACTATTCTGTGGTATGAGTGGTTTCGATCTTAGCAAGGATCTTGGGTATAGGCGAAGGGATAGCTGACTCAAAATGTGTACACTGATTGCCAAATTGCACAATGTACAGGGTGTCCCATTACTCCCATTTTGGTTGTACAACTCAGTTGTTGTTGAAGTTAGAAGAATGCGGTTTACGCGAACGTTGGCTACTTCTCTGTCAAATAAAAGATGCCGTCAACAAAATTGTCATTGCCCTTTTCGTTTTTCAGATACAAATTTGAAAATTTTCCTTTTTTGACATCCCTTGTATCTCGGTTCTCTCATAAGTTATCGAGAAGGTGACAACGGGTTTTTATAGATTATAGATCATTCTACATAGATTCCAGTGGCAAAGTCAACAACCAACCATACATTGTTTCGAATAAAACACCCTGTATATTA